TTTTCACTGATACATCTCCTAGGGCAAGAGAAACAAAAGAAAAAATAAACATATGGGACTACATCAAACTAAAAAGCTTCTGCACAGCAAAAGAAAACAGCCTCAAAATACAAAGGAACCCCACGGTCTGGGAAAACATATTTGCCAAGGATGTATCTGATAAGGGGCTAATTTCCAAAGTGTACAAAGAACTCATACTACTCAGCAAGAGGAAGACAAACAACCCAATTAAGAAATGGGCAAAGGACCTGAATAGACACTTCTCCAAAGAGGACATACGGATGGCCCAGAGACACATGAGAAAATGCTCAACATCCCTAATCATCAGAGAGATGCAAATTAAAACCACAATGAGGTGTCACTTCATACCTGTCAGAATGGCTCCATCAACAAATCAACAAACGACATGTGCTGGCGAGGGTGTGGAGAAAGGGGAACCCTAGTGCACTGCTGGTGGGAATGCAGACTGGTGCAGCCACTATGGAAAACAGTATGGAGGTTCCTCAAAAAATTAGAAATGGAGCTGCCGTTTGACCCAGTGATTCCACTCCTAGGAATGTATCCTAAGAATCCTGAAACATTCATCAGAAAGAATACATGCACCCGTATGTTCGTAGCGGCACAGTTTACAATAGCTAAGATCTGGAAACAGCCCAAGTGCCCATCAGTGGATCAGTGGATAAAAAGCTGTGGGACATTTACCATGGAATACCACGCAGCTGTAAAGAAGAATCTCGTACCCTTTGGGACAGTATGGATGGACCTGGAGAAAATTATGCTAAGTGAAATAAGCCAGGCAGCGAAAGACAAACATCACATGATCTCGCTTATATGTGGAATCTAAAGAACTTAATAAACTGATGAACAGAATAGATTCAGTGACATGGAAGCATAGATGAGACTGATGAATGTCAGAGGGATGGAGGAGGGCGGGTGGGTGCAGGGGGAGAGAGTAACCAATGAATTTATATGCATATATGCACAACCCAAGGACACGGACAATGGTGGGGAGAGAGACTGGGGAGGGGGAAGGGACGGAGTGGAACGGGTCATTGGGGAGAAAAAGGGACATCTGTAATATTTTAAACAAAAATTAAATTAAAAAAATAAATAAATGAATAAATAAAATAAAAAAATAAAAGGGTGAGTAAATCTAACTTCCTTTGGGCTACAACAAAAGTAATAACTTTTTTTTATATGCAAAGGGATTAGTTTCATTTATCACAAACCTTACCCAACAAAGTGCATTCGTTCCCAGCCACACTCTTACTGAACAGTCTGCCTCTGCTGGTGAAAGATTCTGAAAATGTTTATAACTTGCTGTGACAACTTTGATATCAAACACAAAACAAGTTTATGAACACATCTTTTCAGAATCAGTAATGTAGAAGAGAGGACCGTGAGCGCGCTGGCCCGACGGTGCCCCGCCACAGGCACACGCCCCCCGGGCCTCTCACACAGAGGCCTGGAGGGAGAAGGCCGCCGGTGCGGCTCCCGTCTGCTGCGTGACACATGCCTGCCTGCCGAGGCTGCGGTTGGAATTCTCAATAAGAAAAGTCCTGCAGAGGGAAGAACACGCCCTCATTTGTTTCGTGACTCATAGTAAGCTCCTGGCAGATGATCCCTAAGGCCTTTAGCCTCTGTCTAAGAAAAAACATTGCCTAACGCTGAATGTTATGTAAAGTCCGGAGAGTCAAAGGTTGCAAAATGGTTAGTGTTCTTTCCAGACATTCTCTGTTTCCCCAATGTTAAAAACTGGTAACCAGCACCCAAGGAGCCCTACTTTAAGGAAAGTGAAGCACGAAAGGTGGAAAGGACATAGGGCAGATGCTCTACTCCAAAAGCGACTTGGGAGCTGAGAATAGTTTTTCATTAAAACTGGAAACATAATTTATTTTTTTTATCTTTTATTTTTACTTTTCACAAGTATGTATTACCTACTTATTTAAGAGCATGGATTGCCTAATACTCTTCAATCATTTTTCATGGTAGATAAAGTTATGTGGATATAAAATGTGTTTGTACATTATA